GGTGAGTGGATTGCCTGAGCCTGCGGGTTCGAGACCTGCCCGGGCAACTTGGCGAGACCTCATCTCTACAATAAATCAAAAATTAGCCAGGTGTGGTAGCGCAAGCCTGTAGTTTCAGCTGCTTGGAAAGTTGAAGCAGAAGGATTGCCAGAGGCCAACTGGTCGAGGCTGTGGTGGCGGGGAGCATGCCACTGCACTCCAGACGGGGCGACAGAGTGAGACTCCAACTCAAAAAACAAAACAAAACAAAAAAATGTGGTACATATACACAATGGAATATTATGCAGCCATAAAGAAGGACAAACATATGGACTTTCACAGCAACTTAGATGTATTTAGAGTCTACCATACTCAGTGATCTATCACAGAAACAAAGAACAGAGTACCACATTTTCTCACTCATAAGCGGACCCTGAATATGTATCATAATTATAAGAAAAGGATTGGCAGTAATAGGATACTGCAAGCGTGGTGGTGGAGTACACAACATCAATAAAGGTACCTGATCTCAAACCAGGCAAAGTGCGGACCAAAGGGAGATCCAAAGTTTGCCTGTATGATATCCACTTGTATACCTAATCCTGAATTATACCCCACATCTTTAAAATAAAATTTTTTTTAAAAGAATTATTCATTAAGATGATTTTTTAAAAAGATGAGCTGCCTCTACCTCTTCAGAAATGGCTCCTTGGTGGTGAGGCTACTTGATGGAGCACTACAGAGAGGGTATCTTCCATCTGAAGGATGCTGATGCTGGAGGTCTACTCAGCCGCCATCCTGCCTCTATCTACTCCAGGGTAGAAGAGATGACTGAGGTAAACACTGTGTGCACAGTCATGTAAAAGGATCAACAATCAAAACCCTGTGAGAGGCATGACTAAGAAATTCTGGAAAATTTTAGGGCTAGATGTCAATGAAGGATTAAGATAATTTTTCACAGAAGACACAAAGCCTGCCATGTCTTAAAGGAAAATGTAATCAGGGCCTGGTTGTCAATTGTTTCCATGTGTTTATTTGTCAGCAACCTAATGAAATAATGCAAAAGCAGTGAAGATGTCACAGTCCTGGGTCTGTCTACTTGGGATGCTAAGTAGCCCAGAAGTCTTAAGGGAGCTGGGGTCTGTTTCTTTACCTGTCTATGGAACAAACCTTCAACCCTCAGAGCCAGGGTGATAGAGACTAACTTCAGTGGAAATTTTGCCCTTTTCTCCATCAATTCATTTATCATTCTTTCCCAATACACACAAAATCTGAATGCCTTCTCCCCTCTGCTGGGAAGAGGATTGTGGAAAGTGTTTTGT